ACCCCTGCCATGGACAATGAATTCATGGGCAACGAATAAAGGATGACCAGAGAAGAGCTGATGTCTTTTATTTGTGGTGCTGGAGAAGAGTACTGAATATCCCGTGGACTGTCAAAAGTGTAAATAAGTTTGTGTTGGAGGAATTGTAACCAGGGTGCTTCTCAGAGGTAGAGATGGTGAAATTTCATCTCACATACTTGGGACATGTTGCCAGGAGGTGCCAATCTTTGGAAAAAGACATCACACTGGGAAACGGAGAGGATGAGAGAAAGAGAGGAAGACCCTCAACAAGTTGGATTAATAAGAGTGACTGTAATAATGGGGTCAAGCATGGGAGAGATTGTGAGGAAAGCATAGGATAGGGCCAGGTTAAGATCTGTTGTTTGCAGGGTCCCTGTGAGTCCTAGGTGACTTGATGGCACCTAACAACACTACCTGCCATGGAGCGGGCAGAGCCCGTTGGGTGGTATATTCATTATCTAACTGAGGGAATTGGGGTTCAGACAATGCTGTCCTCTTTCCCCAGCATCAAACTACTGCAAGAAAGCCCTGTCTGTGGATTCTCAAATCTCGTCACTTCAGACGGTTGGATCCAGAACACAAGAAATAAACATTCCTTATGACTCAAAAGCATGCCACAAGTTATAGTCCTTCACTGGCTAAACGTTTGACTCCATCTATGTCATTATGTAGACTCCACTTTGAGGAGACAGTTCTTCCCCAGACATATTTTAAGTGCCTTGCAACCTGAGAAGTTCATCTTCCACTGCTATTTATTTGTAAGGTTTTCACTGGCCAATTATTTTAGAAGTGGATGGCCATTCTTGCTTCTTGATCCCACTCAGTCACTCCACATGCATGTGAAAGTTGGAAAGTTGGACAATGAATGAAGAAGACAGAAGAAAAGGTGATGCTTTTGAATTGTGGCATTGGCGAAGAATGATGAATTCACCACAGACTGCCAAAGATCAGCCACATCCACCCTGGAAGGAGGGCAGCTAAAGATAATACTTAGAAGTGAGAATGGCAAGATTTGGGGTATGTTATCAGGACAGGCCAGTCCTTGGAGAACGATATCACGCTTGGAAAGTATGGTTAGCGAAAAAAAAAAAGGAAGATCCACAATAAAACTGAGCGAGTGGCTTCAATAATAGGCTCAAAGTGAACATGGCGCAGGACTGGGCAGCGTTTCGTCCAGTTATACATATATGCTGATTTAGCTGCACCTAACAATAACATGATTCATCTCAGTGATAGCACTTCTGTCTTTACAAAATTATCTAATTATATTATACTCTTAAACTTGAAACAAACAAAATATAAATATAAATCCTGTCACAGGAAGGTTTTTGACTTGAAAACATTTTCCTTCTAACACAGCAGGGTTCCTGGGGTGGGAGACCATGCCCTGTGATCTGCCTCCCCAGACAGTTTCAGAGGAGATGGGCTGAAGTGTGTCCTTCCACCAATGTCCAGGGGGGCTAAATTGTCATGCCCTGAAGGGCACATGCCCTTTCTTTCCTCAGATCTTCAAGAGCTTTTCTTAAGCACTGAAGAGAGGCAATGTGCCTTGTATGAGAGTCTAAAATCAGAGGCAGTTGGTTGTGTGTAAACTGTAGTTTGTTGTTAGGTGACATTGTTGTGTGCTGTCAAGACCATTGTGACAGCAATAGTACTATATAATCTCACCCCAGAAGCAGTAACATAGTTCAACAGGCCAGCAAACAACAAATGCTGGCAAGGTGTGGAGCGATTGGAACTCTTATTTATCACTGGTGGGGATGTAAAATGGTACAGCCACTGTGGAAGGTAGTCTTATGCTTTCTCAAAAATTTGGAAATAGAAATATAATTTGACCCAGCAGTTCCTAGTGGGAGTCCAGAGCAACAACTCAAACAGATGTATGCACGCCCATGGTTATTGCTGCATTATTGTCAATTGCAAAGGGATGGAAGCAACTCAAGTGCCCACCAACAAATGAATGGATAGAAAAGTGATGATACAGTCAAACAATGAAATATTAAGCAGCACTTAAAAAAATGAACTCGTAAAACATTACACAACATGGGGGAGCCTAGAGGACATTATGCTGAGTGAATTATCCCAGTCATAAAAAGACAAATACTACATAACACCAGTAAAATAGGACAGACAAGGCAGGGGGTTGGGGAGAGACTGGGAAAAGAGTGACTAGATAATGAACAAGGCATTAGATCAGATGATGTGAAGAACTATCCGAAAGGAATGTATGATTAGGCATTTTATGTATGACAACAATCTAGAACAAGGGGTGCATTGCAGGGAGGGTTGGGGGAGGGTGACAGGAGGGGGAAAGAAAATGTGTAATAATGGATAAAATGAAAACCGTTCTGAT